GCCGCATCACAAAAGAGATTGCCGACATACATTCCGATACCTCCTCCCATATCCAGGCGGACCCCGTTGGGAACGGAGATGACCTAACTCACTTGAAGGGCCAGTTTAGAGGTCCTCCAGGTACTGCCTATGAAGGTGGCAACTTTGTCGTAGATATCAAGATCCCGAACGAATACCCATTTCGGCCACCGGTTATGAAATTTGACACCAAAGTCTGGCACCCTAATGTCAGTAGCCAAACGGTACGTACAGCCTGATTCCAGGTTACCTCTCAAGACTCCGTTGCTTCGGAGTCAGGCTAACCAAAAACCGTTTGCGAAGGGTGCTATATGCCTCGATACTCTCTCTTCAGCCTGGTCACCTGTCCTCACCATCAAATCTGCTCTCCTTTCCCTTCAATCCCTTCTCAGCACTCCAGAACCTAAAGACCCTCAGGATGCTGAGGTCGCCGGGATGCTAATGCGCAATCCGGAGGAATTCCAGCGTGTAGCTCGCGAGTGGGCGGTGCGGTATGCAGGCGCACCAAAAAAGGAGAGGGGTGAGGGTAGCGGTGGAACTTCTGGGGAGAGCCTTCAACAGAGAGAACAGCGGTCGAGAGAAGAGGAGGAGAGGGAGAGATTGGCTGCGTAAGTACTCTAAGTTCCCTCCCTTATTAACGCTTCTAGATGAAGACAAGTACTGATCCGACCACTGGGCTTTAGTTATGAAGGATACAACAAAGACCTGATTGATCGCTTCGTTAACATGGGCTTTGACGTTGACCGTGTGGTCTCCGCTTTCAAGTTCGTTGGTATCGACAGGAACGGTGGCGAAGACTACGAACTTGAGGAGGCCTACATGGGCGATATCACTGCAAGGCTACTTGGCGAGCCGTGATCTTAATTAACAGGCCGTGTGAGGGCATAAATCCTAACCCAAACCCAACGGCCTCAAATGTCCCATCGTTGCTACATCAGATCGAATGGCTTGGATTGATATATCGACCACTGAGAGGCAGGGCACGACACCAGCGAAGTCTTGGAGGAAAGACGTGCGTTACGTGAATATTTCGTGACCGTGGCAATAATATTAACGATGGATGGGGTGAAACGCAGGTGCTCTTGGCGACAGGGCGAAATTTGTGGGATCTGGCTACTCTGCTATCGTGATATTTGTTCCCCCTTGCCTCGTTTTTTTCTCTTCCGTTTTCTGTGTTGATGGTAGCGAGTTTGGCTTTGTACACAGAGCGAAGGTGATGCATTTTCAAATCACCTCATTGTCCTACAGGTTTATTTGCAGACACGGGCATTCAGAAGCATTTTGAGTAGATTCTGGATAGGTAACTACATGCCAACAAGTCCATTAACGGCAGCTTGCAACCCGTTGATGTTACGACAGGCGTCACAAAAGGTAAACAAACACCCTAGAAACAGATATCCGTTTCTAGTCAACTAAATTCGGCAGATTCAGTGAAATGCAAGGTATGCGGATAATTGAAAATGGTGGTGTAGTGTGCGATCAATGTTTCAATTCTCTTTCTTTCATTATCTCTTGACCGGGGAGACGTCGTTGCCCAGAAGTTACGGGAGTAAGTTCGTTCGTAAGCCAGTTCGTTGACTCGAGAATAATTATATTTGTTTATTTCACGCAGGACCACCATCATAAATAATAAGCATAACAATGACTACGGCGTCAAGCCGGCCTAGAAGGTCCTGCGTTCTAACACTTCCAAACGTTATCACCAAGTCCAAAAAAAAAAAAAAAAAAAAGTGGTGACGACGGCTTGCATTATCTCCGGGTGGCTGGGGAAATTTCCTCGGGGGATCTCCCCGCAGCAAAATTCCCGCCTTTGGAGAGCGGGTCCCACTACAAACCACCACCACCACATCAATCAACAACCCTCCAACCCTCCCCTCCGCAAACCCAAAAAAAAATATCTCGAGCCACAGCCAAAACACCCAATTCCCAACACCCAGCACACCAAAGAGGAAGGGAAAGAATACCCTATCCGACCGGACGAACGAAACGATGATATCCTTCTCCCCGCGCCAACGCGTTTCCTCGCTGCTCAGCTACGCCCAAGGGATTGTGGACCGCGTCGCGGACGGGGAGACGCGGGAGCGGGTGTACAAGAACGCGAGGGGATTCGCGAAGGAGCAGCCGCTGCTAGCAGTGAGTTTTTCCAGCTGCGATTCTGTATTTTTTATTTTTATTCTCCTTATTTTTTCTTCCCTCTGCGGAGAGGAGGGAGGGGAGAGGGTGTCGGGATTGGGATGCTGTTCCGAGAGGATGTTTCTGGGACGTCTGGTAACGGAGCGAAATGGCAGTCTTTCGTCTTGACGCATGTCATCCTGTCTCTCCTCCCTCTCCTCCTCTTCGTTTCTTTCGTGCTCGGGACCCTCGTCCTCGCTCTCGTCGCGGCGATCAGCTTCTCCCTGTTCTGGATCGGTGTCGCGCTGCTCTTCCTCGTTCCGACGCTGTGCGTGACGTTCAGTCTTGGGGTTGGGGTTTGGCTTTGGGTCGTCGGGATGTGGGTGGTTGGGAGGTTTGTTTGGGGGGTCGTGGCGGGGAGGGAGGTGGCTGGGAAGGAGGAAGTGGATGGGGTCAATGGAGATGTGACGGCCTTTGGTAATGGGAAGGAGGTTAAGCCCGGGGGTGGGGAGTAAGTATTGTTGGTGTTTGTGGTATGGTAAGGGAGGTTCATTGTTTGCGTTTCTTTTTTCCTTTGCGGAAATGGTTTGGGGGTACGGGTGGGTTAAGACCGTGACTCCCCTAGGGGCGTTGCGGATACAACAATTATTATGGGCGGGCGGGAGATTTGTAGCACTGACGCCGAACTAACGTAGTCGTTGTCATGAATTTTCTCTTTACACGGAGTATATTTCGTGAGATATGAGGCAATATGCAGTGTCTTTTGTGAAATCAAACTAGAAAGTAGCGTTCTAATTCCTGATGATACCGCGCAACCTCATGCGGGATTCCATGCGCCGGCCCAGTAACACCAATACCTAAAAGAGAAGCCTCTCATGAACAAAGCCTGCCCAGAGAGTTCCGCAACGCCATACCTTGGATGGGTAAACAATTGATGGTTACATAATTTCAAAGATCACGTCAGCGCGTCTCACCCCAACCAACCCATCGCCGTACAACCTCATCCACAGCCCTGAGACCTTCCCTACTTGCATCAACAGCAAACCATTCCCTATGATCCTTGCCACATTTCCCACACAAGCCCTGTTTGACCCGCTGGTCAGCAAGCTCGATATGGATGAGTCGCTCGACGCGGTGAGCGTTGGGAACCTTTCTTGGGGTCGTAGAAGCCGGTAATGGCGATGCCGACGGTGAAGCTGATGGGGAAGAAGCCAGGGAAGGTGCGGGAACGTGTGGGTAGTAGCGAATTAGTGACAAGTTATAGCCGCATTGTCTTGTCCATTCGTTGAGTCGACGGTGGACGTTTGAAGCACGTCCGATCTTGAGAAGAATGTTGCTCTTCTTTTCATTATTCACCGATGCTGCTTCAAGGATCTCGTTCGGCCGTCCATGTTTGCGGTTATAGGATGCCGATGGTGGTGAGAGCAATGCGCTCACAGCTTTCGGGGACGGAGCAGCGGTTATGTCCGAATCAGTAAGCCAGAAAATATAGATATAACCTTCATCATCATTTCCCGATATGGGCTTCGCAAGCTCTGCCAATAGGAGAGACGTCGTTTGTGGAGAAAGGTGTTTAGGTATCAGCGATAGAAGGTATGCAGTCTGTGTCGAAACATCCCGGGGTAAAGACGGCCGGTAGAGTTGGTTGGCTGGTTTCTGAGACATGGCTGTCCTTACTATAGGTGTCTTGTCAATTTGAGCCCTCCTGCGATCCTCTAACATTGTAGGTCGTGGTACGTTCGTCGATATAGGTGTTGGGGCTGGCCTCTGTACAGATCCAACTTTGCCCTTTTCTCCGGTGTCCGGTTGCGAACGTAATGGAGGCCTTCCTGGTAAGGGCGCTGTGGGATTGCCTTCAAAACTCCGCTGCCTCTTCGGTTGATACTCACCATTTCGCGGTCGAGGAGGCTGTAATTTTGGTTCATCGTCGTTGGAGTCGTACTCGATGCAGCAGAATATAGAGAGAAGACCAGGGGTCTTTTGTCCACCGCGGCCACCACGTCTCGTTGTTTTCTCCTTAGCGTTGGCTTTGTGGACCTTAGTGGCTGTGCCAATGTCCAGAATGCCTATCCTATCAACCAGAGTATCTATACTCGTTCGTTGTTGATAAACATCTCCCGTCCCCGTGCCATCGCCCCGACGCAGAGTGTTCTTCACACCAATCACCACTTTCTCCGCCTGATCTTTATGCTGCCAGCAAAAATATCCTGCTGCTTCGCTATCGTCCTCCGAAATTATGGCTATCAAGCCAGGAGGTGAGGCTCTGGGTGAGTTGGCGAGTGAACGACGGCAAGGACGACCACCAGATGTGATGCCCTTGCAGGTAGTAGACGGATTCTTCGAGTCTGATCGCGGGAGGAGCGACTCCGGAGTATGAGGGATGTATGGCATTTAATGGCTACTGGGTCTATGAACCAGCGGAAAAGGGAAGAAATAAAGCAAAAACAAGATACTCTGCTAGTTCAGAGCACACACAGAGACATAGGAACCTAAGAAAACTCTTGGGCTGACTGACAGGAAACTAAAAAAATGAATCGTCTAGTCGGTTGGCATGTAGGTGAAGAGATGGCTGGTAGTCGTCAACGAGTGGCTGGGAAGGGAACGCCTCGACTGCGCCTTGCGATATATCGCTGTTTGTAGGCACCAGACGTGGCACGATGTGAAGAACAGCCTGCAGTGCCATCGTCCTTTGGTGCAATGTGGAATCATCCCCATCCCCAAGTGGGATTTCTCATTTGTGGGTCCGGGAAAGTAGTGCTGCAGTGCTGCGGTGCTACTATCGTAGTGCAAAAGAGAACAAATTAATTTCGCGGGGTATCTCTTTTCCTGCTGGAAAAAGTGCACACGAATTTCTAGGAAAAAAAAAGATTTGGACAAGCGGAGAATCGAACTCCGGACCTTCCCCACGAAAGAATCCTTGCTAAGGGGATATTATACCACTAAACCACATGCCCTGTCTTGATATTTGGTAGTTCTTTAAGCGGTATAAGTCCCACACCCGACCGAACAGGTATCTAGCCGCTGACCAACCGCCCCCCAATTAAATGTCCCCCGAGGGTGAATGAACCTTTTGCTAACTACTGTTGTATACCATTCAAACATAATAATAAATAATTTATTCAGCCACCTGGCGTGCCAACCAGGAGTAAATTGTTGATGGAAGCTTTTGACCCAAATCTACCCCACCAGATTTAAAGTGGGACAGGTGGACAAACAACCATCTACATAAATCACTCAACGGCTGCCGTTTCAGGTTTCCAGCTCTCGATACTATAGCGATGGAATACGAAACAAAGACTGGTAAGTAGAGCCTCCGGCGCTTACTAAAAAAATCCTATTGACTGATTTGCAAAGCTCCCTACAAAACCTCCGATAGAACGTCATTTGCTTATGTCACGGCGCGAGATAGATGGCCCGTCATATTAGTATGTGTACAACCTCGGCGCTGTGAGACATACAACAAATGCTAACTATTATTAGACCGGTGCCATCGATGACATCCATCGAGCATCGTTAGCATCAAATGATCCCGAGCACTCAACGGAGGGCAAGCGAATCGTTGAGAGTCTTGCGAAGTTGAAATATGAGATACAACATGACAGGAAGTTGACGTATGAACCCCCGCTTGCGCGCGCTTGGGTGGAATCCCCAGCTGACCACTGAAACGAAACGTTGCAGGCCCATTCCAGATGACGGGGAACAGGACATCGCCGGGTACAACTCCGAGCTCGAGGCGCTGGGCCTACCAACATGGTTCAACGTTCCGTGGCTATATGCGGAATGTTATCTATACAGGTGAGACAGCGATCGTCATCCGTTTCCCTGGGGGGATAAATCAGACATACAACTAATCTGCGCAAGGACAGACGCATAAACACATTCTTCTCCCTGTCGAATACCTGGAAGAATTATGACGTCTTTGGGCGGCAAAAGCTCTCAACTTTCAAGTCTTCCCGACCAGCTGTTCTGGAACTTGCCGCTAGATACAAGGAACTGGTCCTCCAGCTGGAATCTGAATCATCATCAGCCGACACATCTCGATCCCAAGAGGATGTCGAAGAGGCCAAGAAACTCCTCTTCATCGAGATGTGCGAGATCTGCCTCTGGGGCAACGCAACTGACCTCTCCCTCCTTACATCCCTTACTTACGAAGACCTCCAAAAACTACAAGGCTCCGAAGCCCGCAAGAACTCAGAAAAGAACATCCTGGTCAACGACCTCCCTATCGCATACCAGATCCTAAAGGACGCCCAAACGTCCCGGCAAGGGGCTGACCGAGCCGTGGACGTCGTCCTGGACAACGCCGGATTCGAGCTCTTCGTGGATCTCATCCTAGCAGGCTACCTCCTCTCCTCCGATCTCGCCACAACCATAGTCCTCTACCCCAAATCGATCCCCTGGTTCGTCTCCGACGTAATCCCCTCAGACTTCGCCCACCTCCTAAGCGCCCTCGCCGACCCCCAACTCTTCTACTCCACCCCCTCCGAAGAAGACATCCTCGCCAACAGAACCCCACCCCCGCTTTCAGACAAAGAAGTCGACAACCTAGCATTTCTATTTGAGAGATTGCGCGATTTTCACGTCGACGGGAAGCTGGTTATTCGCGGGAATAGGTTCTGGACCCAGCCGGGCAGCTACTGGCGCCTGCCGGGGACCCAGCAGGCATTGATGGAGGATTTAAGGCAGAGCGAACTCGTGATCCTCAAGGGCGATCTCAATTATCGTAAACTGACCGGCGATGTAAGCACCCACACCCCCCTTGGCCCGGCATCTTCACGCCTTTTTTTTTTTTTCTGCCATAAAAAGAAAATCTAACATCATCACCACCAGGCAATGTGGCCCCCAACAACCCCGTTCCAGACAGCCATCGGTCCCCTGGGCCCGGGATCCGGCGTTCGCACCTTAGCGCTCCGTACCTGCAAGGCAGACGTCGTGGTTGGGCTCCCTGAGGGTGTGGATGAGAGGCTGCGAGTGGAGGATCCCGACGGCGGCGGGGACAGTGGGATGAGGAAGTGGGCGATGAACGGGAAGTGGGCTGTTGTGCAGTTTTGTGATGGGAAGGAATAGAAGAGGGTTCACCGGTACCGACAGGTGCCAGAATGGGCCTTCTAACATCTTCTCTTCCTTGCTCTGGGGTAAGTGGATTCCTTCTTCGTGGTGAGCTCCCTACGTGGATGGTAAATGGGGCGTTGGATCATCTCTTTTTATGATAGAGGGGGGGGTCAGATACATAGATCGGCAGACAGCCCTGGGACAGACGTATGAAAGAGTGGTTTTCTCTTCTACGGATTTTGATAGAGAGTATCATCCTTATTCTTGAGAATTTATCCTGCCTACAACATGTCCAAGGACACTTTCAAGGAATCTGTGTCTAAACGGTGGGGTACTCCCATTTCCCACACGTTTCTCAGCCATCCGGTAAGCACGGCAGCGAGTTCTAGGGGATGTTAGTGGAGTGCAGCGCGATCTGCTCAAAAGACTGGATGGTCTCATATTCCTCCTCTTCCTCAGCGGTGAGAGGAGCATTTCCAGGACGCACGACAACCATAGCCTTCATCCCCGCCTCTATGGCGGCAGCGACTTCTAAAACGCCGTTTCCACCATTAGTCCTTCTTCCCTCGCCCTAGGTCATACACAGTTTCTTCCAGAGGACAGAGAAAGAGAAAGGGTGGAGCGAAACAGACCTTTAACATTATCACCCAAGAATAGCCACATGCCCACCGGTACCCTCTCGGCCTCCGCAATCTTCTCATAGCTTCCTTTCTCCGTCTTGGGCCCCGCGTTTACCGTATCGTAGTAGCCTTTCAAGAGCGGCTGTAAGTCTGGCTGCTCTGCGTAGTCGGTATGCTGGAATAGAAGTTTCTGAGCGTTGACGGAGCCGGAGGAGTAGATGGATGTGTTGAGACCAAGGGCATGCCAGCGGATGAGCTCCGGGGGGACGTCCGGGAAGATGGGGGCATGGAGAGACCCAGACTCGTAGCCAGTTCTCCAGAGGTAGCCTGGGAGGGGGGTGTCAGGGGGTATGTATGATGACTAAGAAAGAGGGATATCGCAGAGGCGGGAGAGTGTTCGAAAGACGAATAGACAAGACAAGGCAAGACAATGCAAGACAGGGAAATGTATGCACGGAGAAACTTTGAGATAGAAATGAACCTTGGACTTGTAACCGCCACACCCGGCGCCCCCTCCTCCCATCATATTTGACGGGGAGGGAAATCAAACCCTCCTCGCAACACTAGCAGCCACCACATGAAAAACAACAACACCAGGTCAAACAACCCTTGCCGCGAACCACCCAACAAACCTAATTAAAATAACCCAATAACAAGACCCAATTCAGAGGGTAAAAAGGGCAAGCCAAAAAGCAGCCTGCAACCTCCACAGCGATCCAACCCACCTTGCAACGACTTAAGATATGCCACCTTGACATCCCGCTCCGTCAGCTCCCTCACGAGCCCCTCGAACGCGTCCCGGTCCCCCCTCACACGATCGGGAAACGCGTCCCGGTACTGCTGGAACTCCGCGTCGTCCCATTTCTCGTCGAGCACCGAGGGCAGGGATGACAGCGCGTACGGGAACTAAGTACATGCCATGAGCATCCCATAAGTCGTCGTGGATGGTGGTAGAAGAAATGATATAATAAAGCGGGTCATTGCCGGTAATTCTTGTGGGTTGGGTGGATCCCACAGCCCGTTGGGTTTCGAATTTGAAACTCGGGCTTTCCGCGCGAAGGAAGCTAAAATAAAAATATAAAGATAATTCGAGTTTTAAAAAAAAAAAAACACTCCAAAACGACCACGTCTCAGTCTCTTTTCAAATTTTGCGAGAAATTGACACTGCTGGGATAGGGAAATTTTCGTGTTCGAACTTGATTGCAAGTCCGCGCTCTGCTCACTCTTGACACGTTTTTGGCGTCGGCGCGTACTAAATACGCCGGTATTGTAGTGGTACCAGCGCCAACGACGTGTCGCTATACAAATCCAATACCTTCCCTTGGGTTCCTGGCAAGGACTGGTGCCACGACAAGCAGATGCCGAGTTCGCGTGAAACGGAAAGGGGACGTGAAAGCAGCGTGGGCCCGGAATGAGGCTTGCTTGTGTGGCGAATGAAAACAGAACGATCCCGCGTTGAATGATGGAAGCAAATTAGAACTTGGGATGATGCGGCCAATCGAGCAGCAATAATCACTCACGAGAACATCCTTCACGAACGAGATGGGGCATACTGTTCACCCCCAACGTTGGAATGAGCGATTATCATCCTCCCCAGTCCTTTCATTAAAGGAACCTTACCTGTCCCCTCTACATCTCCCCACACGACCGAAGGTGGATCGAGTTAACCTCCGACCTCGAAAAGTTAAATGGAAGAGTTTTTTTTTGGTTTTTTTATGAAAAATCTGGGGTAAAGTGTCGAAGGGCAGCATGACCGGGTAAAGTGACCTTACCGATATCCAATAGAATTGCCTTGACCCTCTCGGGAGCCATACTTCGCCTTGTGCTGGCAGGGTGGTTGGTGATGGAGGGCCTGACCTTTGGTTGAGGGTGGCGGTGTGATCCCAAAAGGAACGATGAAAGTGGTTTGTTGGGCCACATTATGCATGCGAGGGAGGCGAATCTTAGCAGCTCGAGCTCATTCCTTTCTGCCCCATCGCGCGATATCGGACAGCGATTGCAGGCTGAAATGCCGATCCGACGCATTCGGTTCGTCCAAAAATTCCTTCAGGTCTGATTACCGTACTGTGCATTGCAGGACTGGAAACTTTTTGGTCGGAGAGGCAAAGGGACGGGCAACAATTCAGTTCGTGCAATTTCAATCGGAACTCACCGCTCCTTTTACTGTGGACACAATCAATGGGCTTTCCGAGGCATACTTTTGGTGGTACATATGTGGCAACTCTCTTCGAGCCCGAGCTGCTTGGAGAGGCATCTCCTGAGTGGCAGCGTCCTGAGTTTGT